CAAAGGAAGAATAGTTAGTACATATCACACCTGTAGCCAGCAATCTGGGATAAAATCCACAGGATAAAGGCAAAAAACACTCAGAGAAGGAATGCACATCTCCACAGTGTCGCAGGATCCTGGAATGGTTTGGGTGGGGAGGCACCTTAAAGCTCATCCATCCCCACCGCTGCCATGGCAGGGACACTGTCCACCATCCCAGGCTGCTCCAAGCTCTGTCCAGCCTGGCCTGGGACACTGCCAGGGGTCCAGGGCAGCCCCAGCTGCTCTGGGAATTCCCAATCTCCCACCCATCCCTGTCCTCTGGCAGTGGGAGCCATTCCCTGGATCTCATCCCCAGCCCAGGCAGGACCTGGCCATCCCTCGCTGCTGTCCCTGGGCTCGGTCTCACCGCTGCCGGCACCTCGGGGGTGCAAGAAAAGCCACAGGGCAGCAAAAGCCAGCTCAAGGGGAGCCCGTGGCACTGCCCAGCCCCTGCCTCTTCCTACAGTGTCCTTGGGATTGTCACCAGGCCTGTGGCACATCCCAACATCACAGCAGCCCACCTCGGTGCTCCTCGCTCTGGGAGTGAGGTCCCACCCACAGGGGAGTCCTGGGCCCAGGGACACCTCTGGCCTTTCAGAGTAAATAAATCCTGGGCCCTGCAGCATCCTCAGTGTGAGCAAACCCTCACTAGAGCTGCAAATGAAACACACCACTCCCAGCACAAAGAATTGCCTTTGTTTTCATCATTTTGTCTGTGCATCGCAGGAGGCTGGAGAACAGTGTGAGTTTTTCTGATCCATAATCAGACAGTTCATAAAAATCCTAATGGAAATGAAGATTTTGCTATTTGGAGTGGTCAAATTTCCATTTTCAAACACATCACATTTTAAAACCCAGGTTGGCATTTTGGTTTGCCGGGAGTTTTAAGATAATAGCAAATTACACAGAAAATCTACCAATTCTTTGTCAAGTGAACTATGCAAAAAGGAACCATTAGTTCATAGTTCACCTGTGAGATGGGAAGACATCCTGAATAATAATTTTGCCAGGCTACTAAGGGCATTTATTCACAAATAACGCTCCCATCTACAGAACTCAGACTGCCCTGGTATCTGGAAAACCCCTGTGCTCGGTTTCCACAAAAGGCAGGTTTAAACAGATTTATTTTCCTCACTGGAGGGAAACCCAACCATCCTGTATGAGGCTGGCTTAGACCAAGCACACCCAGGACTGGCTGGAGAATGGGATGAGCACCTGGGAACCCCTCAGGCCAGCAGAGAGCCCATCCTGCACCCTGCCAATGCAACAGCAGGAGTGGGGAAGGGCTGTGGGGCAGCTCCTGCAGCCCCTCCCTGCTCTGGATATTCCAGGCTCTCACAAACAGGATGGCCACAGGTATCAGAACACAGCTCTCACTCAGATCTCCTCCCGTACCCACCTCCCCTCTGTCTCTGCCAGGACTCTGCTTCCCCTCCTGCCGAGACTGAAAAACGCCCAACCACTGAAGCACTGCAGGCCACCAGAAAGGGATTTTATTCTGTGCAAAATTCAGAACTCTGCAGCCTTGAGGAGACTCCCGAGCCAGAGCTTCGGGTCCTGTTATTTAGGAAATGAAAACTCCACCTAGAGCAGGCTCAGAAGGAAAGCTCTGGAAGCCTGGTGAGGTGGATTAATCCACTTTTCCTGCCCCCAACAGCAGTGCCCGAGGCACAGCCCAAGCGCAGAAGTGTCTGTGCCTGATGCTTTGAAGGCAGCATGGAAAGGGAGTCCCACCGGGATCTGCTGCATTTGTTACAGCCCTGGGACAGGCTCAGCTGGAAATACATTTACTGGGCTTTTGGGAGCTCCAGGGATCTGAGGTGGGATGTTGGTAACAAAACTCAGCTGGAAATACATTTACTGGGCTTTTGGGAGCTCCAGGGATCTGAGGTGGGATGTTGGTAACAAAACTCTGCGTTCCTGCAGGGCTGGCAGTGAGCTCTGACTCGCTTTGCTGCAGTTTGGTGTGAGGCAGGGGAGCACTTCTGTCACCTGCACTTTGTGGTGATTGCCTGGGGACATGTCCCGGGCTGCAGGAGGAATCTGCACACTTCTCCATCCGTTTGCCTGCAATTGTGAGGCAAACACTGAATTCCCAGGGATAATTTCCCTCCCTGTGGGTCTCCTCCAGCACCCAGCGGTTGCCAGCCCTGGCTGGGTGTCCTCAAACCAAGGGATGCTGAGCTGTGCAGAGCAGGCTCCTCTGGAAAATCCCTCCAGGACCACGGAGTCAGCCACCCCCAGCGCTGCCCAGGCCACCACGGCCCCGTGTCCCAAGTGCCACATCCACAGGGCTGGGAAATCCTGCAGGGATGGGGATTGGAAATGCAGGGGAACCAACACCAACTCTGCCCATCAAACCTGTGGAGATGTTTTACCAGAGGCACAGATTACAGATTAATTTGGTAACCTTCCCCCTGCAGTCAAACCCTCATGACAAAAGGCCAACCCAGAGCAGGCCAGCAGCTTAAAGTCTCACTGCACCCTGGAAAACCAGCATCCTAGGACACAAAACCCATGCACAGTCTGAGCTGCTCCTCAACCTCACAGCTTCCAAGGTTCCCACCAGGCTCAGGGACCTCACCCCAAAACAACCTTGGAGCCCCAAGGGAGCAGCCATAACCCAGCCATGGAGAGCACCCAGAAACTGCCATGGAAAAAGGAGCATCAGCTCAGTTTGGAACTCACACAGAGCGGGGAAAACAGAACGGGTGAAGTTTTATACATCTCATTTTGCCACTACAAGGGCTTCAAACCATCTCAGCCTACAGCAGAGCAGTGCTTTAGCACCCAGCACTAACAATTCCTGCAAGGCAGGACCTGAGACCCAGCCCAGGGTGTCCCCAGGGCAGCACAGCCCAACCCAGCTCCCACTGGCTGCTGCAGAGAAACTGGAACCACCCAAAAAGTGACTCTGATTTGCTTTCCACCAGAGCCAAGCAGAACACAAGCTCTCAAAAACACATTTCAACACAAAAAACCAGCTTTCAAACAGACTTCCTGGCCATTGCTTTCAAAAAAACCCAACTCACAAATAATCACAGACGTTCCACAGTAAAATAACAAGCTTTCCTCCTGTCCACAGGGCTGCTCCTAAAACGCTGAACTTTGCCCTCGTGGGAGCTGCTTTGCTCCTGATAAAGGGAATTGTGGGTCCCTCCTGCTCCTCCTCCTCGCAGGTGGTCCCGCTCAGGTGGCACTGCCACCACCGGTGGGGAGCCCTGGGCTCAGCTCAGCCTCCAAGAGCAACCGATGGGGCTGCCTGCAAACAAACACAGGGCTGTGAAAGCCCTTAAAAGCCTCCCAAACTGTGACCCACTCAGGAACCCCAGAGAAATCAATGCAGCTTAATGCTTTGCTGATCATTGGATTTCACAAAAAAACCAACAACAAAAATAAAATCCAATTTTGCACCTCCTAAAGTTCTTGAACAAACACGGTTCTGTACAATTTAAATAGATGTTTGAAATCCTGATCTTTGTTTTGTTTTTTCACAATGGCCAGTCCCAAGGAAGTGCAGGGTTTGGAGCAGTGCTATAATTTCCATCCTCTTTAAACATTCCTGTTCCCCTTCCAAAATGGGAATTCCCAGGAAAAGCCGGGTTTAGGGTTTAACTGGTGCCATTCCCATGGAAAAGCCGGGTTTAGGGTTTAACTGGCACCATTGCCACGGGCAGGCCGGGTTTGGTGTTTAACTGGTGCCATTCCCATAGAAAAGCTGCGTTCAGGGTTTAACTGGTGCCATTCCCAGGAAAAGTCGGGTTCAGGGTTTAACTGGTGCCATTGCCATGGAAAAGCTGGGTTTAGGGTTTAACTGGTGCCATTCCCACAGGCAGGCCAGATTTAGGGTTTAACTGGTGCCATTCCCATAGAAAAGCTGCGTTCAGGGTTTAACTGGTGCCATTCCCATAGAAAAGCTGGGTTTAGGGTTTAACTGGTGCCATTACCACAGGAAGGCCAGATTTAGGGTTTAACTGGTGCCATTCCCATAGAAAAGCTGCGTTCAGGGTTTAACTGGTGCCATTCCCATAGAAAAGCTGGGTTTAGGGTTTAACTGGTGCCATTGCCACAGGAAGGCCAGATTTAGGGTTTAACTGGTGCCATTCCCACCCTTTACAGGAACAGCATCCCAGTGGGGAGCGTGACTCCCTCAGCACTGGGCAGCCGTGCTCGGGTTTCCCCCTCTCGCTGCTGAAGAGGAGTTAAAAGTTAAAGCTCAGTTTTTATCTCAGTGCAGAGCCCCGGGTTGGCCCGGGAGAGGGATGAGAAGACACTCATTTCAGGCTTTAGTTCAAACCCTTTAATCTCCTGAATCGGCGCCCTCAGCACGTGCCGGGATCCCCTAAAGCCGGCGCAGGGCTGGCGCAGCCCTTGGCTCATCCCCACGTTCCCACCTGGCCCCAGGTGAGCCTGCGAGACAGAGGGGTGGTGGCGAGGGGAGCGCGGCTTAACGGGGCTTTGCTCCCCTAATCCCGCCTTGGCTCCCGGCAAACACCGGCACCGCGCTCGTTTGGCGCAATAAATAACGGGATATAATTAAAATTCCACCCCGGCGCTGGGAACAGTGTGATAAACTGTTTGTGAATTGGTAATTCTATTTATTAAAAACAGGGGCATTAATTCTGACACGTTGAATTATAACGCAGACAAACAGATCTTGTGTTTTAATTAAATGCTTCTGTTTGATGAGGTGGTTTTATATGAAGATTTAATACCAGATTCTGCTATTCCTGCCTTAGGTGCTGGGCTGGGATTCCCACAGGGTCTGGGGCATTCCCATCCCTGGGAATTTGGGAGCTCTGGCAGAGCCCCCCAGGCCAGACACCCCCTCCAGGGTGAACAAGGAGTGTCTGACCTCCCTTTTCTAGTGCCTTTTCCTGCTTTTCCCCCTTTTCCCAGGCTTCCAGGATGTTTCCAGGCCCCTACCACATTTCTTATTTCCTGCTGCAGAAGCAGATCTGAATATTTTTTTTTAAAAACCACCAAAAACCCAACAAAAAACAACCATACTGCTTTGAGGTTTCTTTCACATTAAGCTACATTTAATATTCATTTCACTTTTTTTTCCTATTAATTAAAAGTAAACCGTGTATTGTATGGTACATTATCCCTCTAACAGCCCCATGTGGAGATCATGAAGTGGAAGACTAATGGTGTAGACTTTAGCATTTAGTTTTAACCAGGATAATTTACATATCTGTGAGAAGAGTCCGAGGCATGTGTAAATAAGCAGAACTCGGAGATATCAGCCCCGTGCTCGGTTTGCTCTGGACTGGAGAGCCACGGGCTGTGCATTTATTCCATCACTCAGCTAATTTAATGAGACTTTATCCAGCATCCATTTCTGCAGAAGACACAAAACTTATTATTAAGGAGAGGCATGTGGCAGTAAGAAAAATGTGTTTGTTTGCTTTTTTATTCTATTACCCCCAAGTAGCAAAGGTGATCCCATTCACTGTTCATTAAAGTTTACCTTTATAATTTATCAAAGGAGCCCGATATCAAGAGCTTTATGCTGAGATTTCAAAATTCGAGACTGATTAAAATTTAATGGAAAAGGCCAACGTTTTGGGGTGGGTTGGCAAGAAAAATCGCTTCCCAACCTGCAAGGAGAGATTTCATTAATGTGCACCTCTATTAGAAAGCACCATAAAAGACATTAGAGGCATGAAAATGGCATTTTCACTTCAAAAATCTCTCTGGCTTTTTTAGCATAAGTTCCAAGGGAAAGAAAGTTGTGTTGGAATTCTAGGAGAGCAGCACTGGCTGGGCTGAGCCTTTTGCAGTGGGAGGTTGGACTCGGTGATCCTGGAGGTGTTTTCCAACCTTGAGGATTTTAGGATTTTGGGATTTAGGCGTCCCAGCCATCCCTGGCAGACAGGAACACAGACAGTTCCTCTGAAGTCCACATCAAGAAAAGCAGAAATTACCAAGAATAAGTGTTAAACATCTCCGTGCGATGGTTGGTCTGATCATATCACGGAGGAAAACCAAAATAACAGCCAAATTCACAGTTTTGGCAAACTGAAGAATAAGGTATAATCTGGGGGAAAAGATCAAATATGGAATCTGGGTATTTCAAAGCCAGACAAAGCAGCATTTTCACCATGTGAAAATGATGTTTTCTTTCCTGATTTGCCTATTGGTGCAGTCTCAAAAATCTTACAAGTAGAGAAGAAGAAGATTTTCCACTAGGAAGAATTTCCACTAAAATGATAGAATTGAAGTTGTTTCTCTTTTTGAGTTTGTTCAGTGGGATGAGAAATCCAGCACAGGCATCTCTCCCTGGCTTCCTCCAGCAGCTGGACCCAGCCCAGAATTCCACCACATTTGTGGTGCAGATGCTCCTCAGCTTCCAGCAAGAACCACAGCAAATCCTGCTCCAGGTTTTGTGGAAAGGGGTTCAGGACTTTCCTTCCCTCCAAGATGAGACCACCAGAAGGTTCCCCCAAATCCATTTTCCATTTTCCACGTGGGTTTGCATTAATTTTACCTTCTCAGTGGTATTTTTGGGGAATGAATGGATAAAAGCAGCGTGGAAGAGGAGAAGCTGAGAGGAGGAAGGATGAGCTGCCTTTTATAGCTGAGGCTGGGCAGAGGTGCAGTTCCCATCCCTGGGGGACTCACACCCTGTGCATGTGGCACTTGGGGACGTGGGGTGGCCTTGGCAGGGCTGGGCATGGTTGGGCTCGATGCTCTCCAGGGGTTTTCCCAACCCAGACGGGTCTGGGATTTGCCAAAAATGCTTTCCCCAAAGCTCTGAGCACCTTTCTGGGTCTCGTTGTCCCCCCACTGTTCCTGCGCAAGAGGAGAGGCAGCAGAGGTTCCAGGGCTGCCTGTGGGACGTGATTAGTCCCAGGAATGTCATTAGAATAACAAAAATATGCTCTCATTATGGCTTCAATTAAAGGTTTCCTAAGTGAGGAATAATTAAAGGTTGCAGAATCTGGTCTCTGCCTAAACTAAAGCTGCAAATCCTGGGCTCTCTGTGCTGAGGTGAGCAGGGTCCAGCCTGGTGAGTGAGGATACTCCAGGACCCAAAATTCCTAAAATTAACCCTCAGATACAATTTTCACAGGCAATATAAAACCAGGGTTTAAAACTGCCAGAAGAAAATTTTAACAAGTGTGTGTCTCACTTACTGCAGGGACACTTGGCTGGTTTGCAGCATCGTGTAGTAAGTCCCTTGCAAACTGAGAGCTGATGATCCCAAGAAGAGGAACAAATAAAAATAAAAAAATAATTAGATCAGTGAGTTAATTTTGTAGTGGGGAAAGAAAGGGGTACTTAGATGGAAAGGGAAAAAACAAGTAACTAAAAATAGAATTAGTACGTGGTTTTGACTAGGAGTGGCTGGAATCAGAAGGACAGCGTAAGTCTCTCTCACAGTGAGGGCTGGGGTTGGTTTCTGGTCCTTTTTCCTGGGGATTTTTGCAGGGTTTGCAGGCTGCTGGAGCACTGGGCTGTCCCCCTGCCACTGCAGCTCCCTTGCAGATGTGCCCAGGCGAGTGGCACTGCCCTGGGCAGGCCCCTCCCGGCTCCCCCGGGCACTTTTGGGGCTCTGCAGCCGGGCTGGGCGTGCACAGCGTGGGCAGAGCCCGCTGCCAGCTCCGCTGAGCTGGATTACAGACCATGACCAGCGAGCCCTCACATGACAAAGCCTTTGTGTAATTAATATGCAGGGAAAAATGCTCCCTGGACGGCTGCTAAAGCGATTTAAATCATGCACATAAAAAATGTAATCACAAATTTAGCATGGTGGACATTGTAGTCACACTGTGCTTGATTGCATAGAAGGTTCCAAGTGTGTTTTAAATGTCCTTTAAGATTGAGATTAGGACTTGTACTTACAAGATGCATATTAATCTAAAACTCAACATTTTTCAGTGTGGGATCACAGTAGGAGAACATTATGGGCAATAGAGGTTCATTCTAATCCCAGTAGGTAATTACACTTTGAAATAATATTCTTTAATTAAATCTTGTTTGCAGTTGATTGATTTAAACACTAAATCTAAAAACCTAAATTTGAGTTTTTATCAATTTTTGATGCTTATTGCACAGAACTTGGGCTTTAATTGATGTTTCTGAAGTTTTTAAAGCTCTTGTCCACCGTGTCCTGGATGGATTTATTGTAATTACCAGCATCATTCCTGGGCACTGCAGACGGCTCTCCTGGAACCTGGATAATTTTCAGTCCTTCCAAGCGTAAAGCACCGGCTGGTTTGGGTGTCAGAGCTCCAGAGCTGCCTCCTGCTCCCACAGAGGCCCTGCCCCACCTCTGGAGGTGCTTCCCAAGCTCTGGAGAGGGACTCTGCTGTCCCCACATCCCCTGAGCTGTGCTGAGAGTGGCACCGACAGGATGGGGACAAGGGGGACATTTTGGGGACGATGTCACAGAATTAGGGGCTGGCCTGGGCTGGAGAGGACGTTAAAGATTGTCCCACCCCTGCCCTGGGCAGGGACACCTTCCTCTGTCCTGGGTGCTCCAAACCCCTGCCAACTGGGGACAGCCCGGGACAGTGGCAGGAGTCCTGTCTGTGGCAGGGGTGGCGCAAGGGGAGCTCTAAGCTCCTTTCCAGCCCAAAGACCCCGAGGCTCTGGAATTCTGGAATTCTGTTTTCAGGAGCACTGGTCACTCCCTGAGCTCCCCTGAGCTCAGCAGCTCAGCCCTTTGGCCACCCAGCTCTGGTTTGGGGACATTTCTGCAGCCCCGTGCAGAGGGGAGCCCCAGGAGCGGCTCCTTTGGGATTTGGCCACGGAGGTTTGGTAGCAATTAAAAATGCTCTGATTGAGTGATTAAACCAGGGAACAACCTCACACACCAGGGACATGCCAGACCAGGACAGGGATCCACCAGTGTGCTGGGGAAAGGGGATGGGAGCAGCCCCCTGGGCCCTCCCAGCCCGTGCCAAGGCCCAAATTCCCTTTGGGAATGTTTCGGACACACTGAGCGGGGCCGTGCCAAGGCCCAAATTCCCTTTGGGAATGTTTTGGCCATGCTGAGCGGGGCCGTGCCAAGGCCCAATTCCCTTTAGGAACATTTTCCCTCAGGAGCCTCCACACTGAACGGGGCTGTGCCAAGGCCCAAATTCCCTTTGGGAACATTTTGGCCACGCTGAGCAGGGCTGTGCCAAGGCCTAAATTCCCTTTGGGAACGTTTTCCCTCAGGAGCCTCGGGGTGTGACCCAGGGCCGGGCCAGCAGAGCTCAGAGGGGAAGGGTCAGGCTCCAGCTCCTTCCCACCAGGGCCTCACGGGATCATTTGGGCTCTGGCAGGAGGGGGACAGGTCCCCAGCACGGAATGACCCTGGCACAGGGGGACCCTGGCACGGTGCAGGGGGACCCCAGAAGAGAGAGACCCCGGCACAGGGGGACCTCAAACAGAGAGGCTCCAGAATTGAGAGACCTCAGAACAGCGGGACCCTGGCACAAAGGGACCCTGAAGGAGAGAGACCCCAGAGCGGAGAGACCCTGGCACAGAGGAACCCCAAATAGAGAGACCCCAAACAGAGAGATCCCAGAACAGAGAGACCCTGGCACAGAGAGACCCCAGAGAAGAGACACCCTGGCACAGAGGGACCCTGGCACAGAAGGACCCCAAATAGAGAGACCCCAAACAGAGAGACCCCAGAACGGAGAGACCCTGGCACAAAGGAACCCCAGAACAGAGAGACCCTGGCACAAAGGAACCCCAGAACAGAGAGACCCTGGCCCACAGGACCCTGGCCCACGGGACCCTGGCCCACGGGACCCTGGCCCAGCAGACCCTGGCCCAGGGCAGCAGGAAGGTGGTACCACCGCGCCAGGACACAGCACTGGCTCCAGGAGAGCGCCGAGCTCCGCGCTGCCGCACGTCCCTGGCAAAGGACACCCATGAAACTTTAACTACTCCTCCACAGGCCTGACCTTTTCCAGCGTGCGGAATTCCGCGTGCAGAACGCGGGCAGCGAGTCGGTGGCGCTGAGGAGTGAACTTTAAAACACCCCCACGTCACCGTGCCCCTGCGGGCAGTCCCGGCCAGGCTGGAGCTCAGCTCTGGCCCTGCTCCACGAGGACACCACGGACGCGTGGCACAGGAAATGAAATTCCTGCTACTGTACACTCAATAACAGAAAATGCACGTCCTGACGCAGCATTTGTCACATCCGAGGCAAAAACAAACTACTGGCTGGAATGTTTTATTAAGATGACTTCGCCATGGTGAGAAATGATTAAGTCACTCTACGAGCAAAGTCAGAGCACGGGACCTCATTCATTGTAATACTAATATTAATCACACAAATAATATAAGTGTCTTACAGTAATCCACATTCCCTTAAAATATACATTATATATCCTGGGGGCAAACAGCAGCACGAAGAACTTGGAATAAATCCCTCAAGCCATAGTGGCCAGCAGAAAGCCATTTATATTCTGACAGATTAATGTATATTTTGTTATGCGTAACAAATGAAAATATTTACAGCGCTATCAGAGAGAGCTCAAGAAAAATTAACTCGCACTAATCAATACATTTCAAGCATGAATTCAAATTCTTTCCAAGCCCTACAATGTCCTCCAAAAACTGGCACCAAATAAACAGGGGTGTTTCTATCAGTTTAACTGTGGGTACTCATTATTGTTGTATTTAATACTAACAATTTTTCGCTAAATTAAACACTCTGACCATGGGCAAGCACTGACCAAAGGCCAAAAACGGGGAAATCAGCTGAGGTTTGGAACTGAACAGTTTGGAACTGACCAGCCTGGAGGTCAGCAGCAACAGTCATCACAGTTATGAAATCTTTAAAAAAATGGAATTTCAGTTTAAAAAAATGGAGCAAAGGAGGCAGGGACAGGGAACAGGGACAGGAGAGAGAACAGGGACAGGGAGCAGGGACAGGCACAGGGAACTGAGACAGGGAACAGGGACAGGAGAGGGAACAGGGACAGGGAACAGGGACAGGCACAGGGAACAGGGAACAGAGAACAGAGACAGGGACAGAACAGGAACAGGGACAGGGAACAGAGAACAGAGACAGGGAACAGGGAACAGGGAACAGAGACAGGGAACGGGGACAGGAGAGGGAACAGGGAACAGAGATAGGGAACAGATACAGGAGAGGGAATAGGGACAGGTAACAGGGACAGGGAACAGGGACAGGAGAGGGAACAGGGAACAGACACAGGGGACAGGGAACAGGGCCAGGAGGAGAGGGAATGGCCCTGGCCAGGGAAGGTCGGGGAGAACAGCAGGAGAGGAGGTCCAGCTCTGTCCCTGGAGCTCTCTGACACCCCCAGGCAGCCCCAGAGGGGTGCACAGCCCCAGCTGTGGTTTTGGCAGTGCTGGCACTCTCTGTCCGGGCAGATCCCCCAGCGCTGCCGTCCCTCCCTCAGAGCCCTGCCACACTCCCCTCTTGTACCCAAGGGAGGAGAGAACATTATCACTTCCAGCACCACTAAAAATTGACTTTCCTTCTCCTTAACCTATTCATCCCCATCTCCTCCTCCCGTTATTCCCAGGCAATTTTGTAAGATGACTATTATGCAAATGCTACAATAAAAATCTTATTTTCTGCTCCCTTTTCAGAGCCCTGCTCTGTTTACCTCCATTCTCTCTCTCTGATGGAGTTCTCGACAAAAAGGAGAGAATAAATGTGTCCATTATTGGCCCAAGTCTGAGGAAACTCAGCGGGAGGTCACTAACTGCAAAACAATTTACAAATCCCTTCCACCCAGCCTCGCAGCGCGGGGACTCCCAGAGCTCCAGAATTCCAGAATTCTCCCTGAGCGAGTCCTGCCATTCCCACTGTGGCTCCCAGGCTGGGCTTTCTTGTGGCAGCACATTTCTCTCCCTCTCAGGATTTTTCATAGAGGAGCACAGAGAGAAATGAAAGAGAAAACAATTTCTATTTCTGCTCCTTGTTTTCCCATGTGGAATGTGTTTGGAGAATTGTTTACCTGGGGTGATGCTTGGTTGGATTCTGGTGAGGATTGTTTGAGCCTGGTGGCCAATCCAACCCGCCTGGAGCTGGGCTCTCAGAGAGGGTCACGAATTATGAGTTAGAGTCAGAGAAAGTAGGATGGAGTTTTAGTATCCTCCTTTTATATAGTATATTAATGTATTTTGGCATAGTTATAATAAAGAAATAATTCAGCCTTTCGAATTGAGTCAGACATGGCCATTTCTGCCCATTGGGTTCACCTGCATTTCTAACGTCCCCTGCCCTGAGTTCTCCTCAGACGAAGCTGGTGCCAAGCCAGGCTGTGTCCTGGAGCAGGAGCTCCTGCCCGGAGCAGCCCCAACCTAAGGGGGTTTGCCCCTGCCCCTGCCAGGCCCAGAAATCAGTTTGCATCAGGATTTTGGGAATGTCCCTGTGGATCTCCGATGGGAGCTGTCCCCAGGAGCGGCTGCTGGCCAGCACAGCCCTCCCGAGCTGTGGGAAAGGCAGGAGCAGCCCAGGAGAAGCCACACTCTCAGCCAGCTCTACCTGCGCCCCAGTGATAATTACAGCTAATTGCTATAGCTTAGCATGCATTAATTAACCTAAATGAACGCTTTAGCTGGCTTTAAACTGCACTTTGTTTAAACTTACAGCCAGCCTAAGGAATGTTTTCCTGGAGTGTTGTTCTGAGGTGCCCAGCACCAGCCAGGCCAGCAGCGGGGACGGTCCCGACCCTTCCCGTCCCTGCAAACCCAGGCACTCGTGTTGTTCTCCCTCTGCCCCTCTCCAGCTCTGGGTTCCATCACCTCACCCACAGCAGGGCCCACTGCTGGCAGGGACCCTCTGGGGGTCTGGTGTCGGGATGAACACAAGAATGTAAAAATCCTCGTTTCCCAGCCAGAGAAGTAGTCTGAATGTGTAGGATCGGCTTCTCAAGAGTGTTTATTTTCCCTTATCTAGAACATTCTTTCTCTGCCCTGCTGAGCTCTGGCCAGCAGCTCGGCCATGGCATTCTGTCTGCCCTCAGGGCAGTGTTTACATTTTATACCAAAAACTACCTGTACTAGGTTTACAATAACGTGCCAATATCTATCATTTATGTCGGACAGTGTGTCTCTGCCTTAAACCAACAGAAAAGTGTCACCATCACACCAAGACATGGAGGGCAAGGAGAAGGAGAAGAAGGTCATGGCACACCCAAATCCCTCCATCTTGTACCCCTGAATCACATTCTAAAAACCCCAAAATTTTACATTTTCACTCTGTGTTAATTCAGCCACCACACTACTCAAACCCTTGTGGCTTGTAATTCCTCATACAAAGTTGGCAGCTTTTTCCACAGGCTAAAATCAAAGCCACAGGTGTTTCTGACTTCGTGCCAAGCTCAGGGCAGGGCTGGGCTCAGGGCAGAGCTGGGTTTAGGACAGAGCTGGGCTCAGG